CTCAGGGTTTCAGCCGCTGGGGATCCCATGGTTGTCTTCCCCATCTAGAACTTCCACCTTGCGATGTCTATCCCGCTTTAAATCACTTGATATCCACTTCTCATGACTTCCTCTCTCTTCTCCCTCCCCTCCCCCTCTCCATACCAAGTGTTTCTGATCCTCCCTCTGCTCTGGAATTAAAACAGTCTGCACTGACAGCTTGTATAAGTAACTACCCGCTGATCCGCCACCCGTCTCTTGTGGTGCATCAACAACCAGTTAATGGTGAACTAAGATTATCATCGATAATCACTAAACTCTCACTTGTCCTTCTCTTTCTCATCCACCTCCCACGATTTCTTTCTTGCATCCTTGCAAGAACTTCCTTGATTCTCCTTTTCATTCAGCTTGTGTTTCGTGAACTTCTATTGTCGTCTTTGACTATTCTTTCATCTATTTGCTCCTCCCCCTCCTCATGCCACTATTCAGTTCATTCAGAACGAGTCCACTTGCTTTATTTATTTGATCTCTATTCTTCTCTTCTCTTCTTCTCCTTCTCCTTCTTCCTCCCTTCCACTCTCACTCTCTCTCCATCAATCTCCTTGGTGTTCAAGACACTTTACTCTTTCCGTCAAATGCGAATGTGTTCGAGACTTGCTCTCAGATGCAGAAACCCTCCCCACACTGAGTACACAACTGACTGGCGTCCCTTGCACCTCACTACGCCTTGCCCGCCTATTAGGCATAATCAACATCCACTTTCCCCACAACTCATTCCAGCGGAGCAGCACACAAGCTCCCCCTTTTCTGAGACCTGAAAAGACGGTCCTATTCTCCTTCCTCCAGCGTCCCCTGCAAGCTCTTCCAATCAAACATTCCGCGTGGGTCCCTGGAGGACTTTGAGCTGGGCTGTTCTCCCTACTCAGTCAAATTCCCATTCCTTGCCTCATATTTAAATCCTCATCATGGCTAGCGCTACCAGAGTCATTCGTGGCCAGCCACCCTCGCCGCCTGAATCGACGGATCAGAACACGGTGGCTGATGCCAACCAAGACTTCCATGGTATACTTTCGCCAAATTTCGGACAGCATGAGTATTTCTCGGCTGCAAACCTTCATACAAACCATGTTTCAAGCGAGCTGAAATACGACACAGCATCATTTGTAAGTTCACAGTTATACAATTTTTACTCGGTGGGCAGGCACTAACCTGGCTTCAGAATTATCTTTCCCCTCCTTCTTCACAGCTTGTGTCCAGTGACTATCCACGAAACATCTCATTGCAACATCCGGTTAGTCGTCCCTCCGCTTGATAACCCTTTCGTTGATCACTAATCCCTCATAGATCGACACGCCACCATCCACAGCAGACGACTGTCATGTTCCTGGAAGCCTGAGTTCAGCACCGCAGTGGTCATCGCCTCAGAGTCAGAGGCAGCCCCCTAGACCCAGGGTCGCCAGGCCTCCCAGGATGCGCCGCAAGGGTCGGAAGTTGAAGGACCGAGAGTCCAGGCCTCACGTTGACAAACCGTTGAGCGAGTTGACCAAGCACTTGACACATATCCCAATCAAGGACATGGAAAGTTGGGTGCATCGCTCCGTGGAAACTCGCCGCCAGGAAGTTGCAAAGAAAAATGGCAAGATTGCCCGGCCGATGAACTCCTTCATGCTCTACCGGTCTGCATTTGCGGAGCGAGCAAAAGAATGGTTCTCGCAGAACAACCACCAGGTGGTCTCTGAGGCTGCCGGTGATAGCTGGAAACTGGAGCCTGCGGAGATCCGTGGGAAATACGAGCATCTGGCGACTGTTGAGAAGACCAACCATCTGAAAGCACATCCCGGCTACAAGTTCTCCCCGGCAAAGGATAAGAAGAAACGGGCGGGTGTCGACGATGATGGTCACCTGGCAAATTCTCCTGATTCCAGCCCAGCTCTGCTACAAAGCCATGGCATGAGCTCGTCAGAGGTGGAGAGCAGTGGCTGGGGCAGCCGTGACTCTACGCCCTTTGACTTTGCGGAACACGGCTTGCCTGCAGCAGATCCGTATTTTCTTTCGTCGTCACCTTGGCACGCACCTCGGGGTTCCATGCCAGGCTATATGCCTTCCTCGGACCCATCTCCGTACCTAATACATTCGACACAATCGGGCTACATGTCTCACCAGGACGACTTTCGGTTCAAACGGCCGAGTTTCCAGGACATCTCGTACAACTCATCAACTTCTCTGGCAGGATTGCCAGGAGCGTCTCACCATGACCTCCTACAGCCCGCCAGCTCTGCTTCTACTCCGGGGAGCGGTCAGCTAGACCCCCAACTTCTGACCCTCCCAAACGAGCTTCCGAATTCCAATCAGATCTATGGCGTCCATCAGCCATTGTGGCCTGATGCATCGACAGTCAACGGTTATGTTCCCATGACAACTTCGATGCCGCCAAGCTCAGTCGCCTATCAGGCGGGCTCAGCCTACTCATCGGCATCCGACATGCAACACCTAGAAGGTCGCGACACATGGGATTCGCCTAATGATGCCAAATTGGAGGGCTCTGCTGGCGACCTCAATTCCTGGATGTCATACTGAGATCCATGTTCAACTCACCCTAAAGCGTGATAATTCTGTTAACGTCATGATACCAAAGGGTCGAGATGTTTTCTTGTCCTGTTTCTCAGCGCGGTGGATATCTGTTTGAAACCAGAGTTGTTGTTCGGAGTTTCGGGGCGCTGATATACATGGTGGCTTGGGACTTCTCTATTTGAATCTTTGATTTTTTTTGTTGGTTTCAGGCAAATGCCCTGTCTGGGTTATTGAGTCACATTTGGCTGGCGTATTCCAGGCTTCTTGGCCTTGCTTCTGGGTGGCAGTCTCGTTCAATCAATACGTTTTGATATCTTGTGATGGTAAAGATGTGTGCACTGGTGTTCTACCATGAATTAGAATAGTTGGCAATTTACATGACCAGATGTACATCAAGCTGTTTGAATAAGAGCAAGCCTAACAAGTTCCCTAATTTCTTAGTACATGCGCAGATGAAATAGTACTATATCAGTATCAGTAAATTTCGCTGGATGACTCCAATTCGGCGTGACCGATACGCGCCCTGTCACGTGGAGATATCCGATCGGTGGAGGGTCAAAGCGACGCGGCGACAGGCAATCAATCCTGCGTGAGATTCACGTCTCCGTCCGTCTGCATGTTCATCGCAAAGCTTATTTCAAGCTCAATCAAGGTACTGCCTTAGTAGTTGATGAAATAGACACGCTCAGCAACCCCTTCCGAACTCTGGATCCTCCTGTCCATCAAACCTCAGCTTCCGACTCGCACGTCCCAGCAGCGATCCGCGTGGGAGTATACTTTCACATCCCCGCGTTTGCATACCTTCAATTTACAGCTACATCTACTGCCCGCGATGTCGAACATGTATGGCGAACTGGGCAATAAATTGGTTTGTCTCCCCTTAGTCGTCGGACTCCACCTACGATCTGGCCTAACCCGGGTTATCTACAGGTTCAACACGCCAAACGCACCCAGGCTTTAACCCATCTGCCACCATACCAAACCGAACTCGTTCGCGCCGTCGCCCGCGAGGTCCGCGATCTGGACCGCGATGTTGCACGCCTGCTGACTCCCTTCGAGGGCAGCTTCAACCCGTCCCAAGAGCCCGCTATTGCCTGCGCCCTCCTCGTCGACCATCTCTGTATGCGTCGCAACAAGCGGTGTCTTCTCGCCTACCATCGTGTCCGCACGGAAAAACTGGAAGAGCTCTGTTGGACGGGTGTGGATGTGCTAGAACAGCAATTGCCCGTGGCGGAGGAGGCCAGTGCGGGAGCTGCTGCCGCCGCGGCGGCAGCACAAGGCCAGGGGGCTGGCTCGGGCATGAATCACAGCTCGCTGAGCCCGGAGGAAGAAGAGTATTTTCGACAATATAGTGACCTGCTCGCCGCGTACAAGGGGCAATGGACGGATATTGATCTCACTGGAAGCTTGGAGCCACCCAAAGATTTGTTCATCGATGTGCGAGTCCTGAAGGATGCCGGGGAAATCCAGACGGAATATGGGTATGTTCAGATCCCTTCCGAGCGGTCTCTCTTCGTTTTGATGAAATTAAAATACATGTCAATGGTCAAGTGCTAACAATGCGCACGCAGGGTGATCAATTTGACGAAAAACAGTCAGCTCTACGTACGACAAGGGGATGTGGAACGATTGATTGCACAGGGCTTTCTGGAACGGTTGGGATAGATTGCCGTGCCTCCGTGGCCCGGCAGTAATGCTGTGGATTACCCCCCGATGCTGCTTCTTGCTGCTCTAGCTGCTGTTTTCTGTGTTACATGATGATACCCATTTAGTTTGTTGAGAGTAATCTACAAGAGCGGAGACAGTGGCATGGGGGCCACGCTGCGCGAAGTCGAATTCAAGTGAATTAGCGGGGCAATGAGAAGGATTTTTTGATACATCAGAACTGCGAGGTCTACTGAATTAGTTGGCAGTCAATCTAGCCCATGTCTAGATCGTATGTTACGTCGAAGATAATCTAGACTAGTGATCCGTCTTCGGCAGCGTTGGACACGAACATCGCCGTTGCAACGGTCGCTTACCTAACAGGTCGGCCCTATCATCGGCCTGGATGCGGCCATGCAGCTTCGCCGAGGATTGAAGCTCTTGCCTTCCCACACCCATTACTGCAGCTACTGTCGCACTTGTTCTGACGGCGCCCTCTATCCCTGCACACCAATTTAGCTCGCTAGCAAGGCCAATGCTCTGTGGCCATCCAGAACAGCTTTCGCCATCCAGGTCCCCATCCCCATCTATCGCGTCTCCCATGTCCGAGAAGTGGATCGGTGATAATCCGCCCGTGATAAGACTTTTTAGTCACTTTCACCCACCTAGCTGATAACAACGGCCAGTCATGTCTGGACCGGATTGAATCGCTCTTTTCATGATCCCTCCAGACCTTTCATTAAACGCCTCCCATATCATAATCGTCTGTTTTTCCTTCTTCCCCTCATTCGATCTGCCAATCGTGGAGCGATGTCTATGGTTGTTGATTCTTCTGAGTTCTTGCGTCATCCGGTATCATCTCTGCACTTTCGGCTCCTGTCCTAAGATCTCGTCCACGAGCCTGCAAGCCTGCGGGCTGAATCAGTACTTGATCGGCTCTTGCAAACTGCACCGTGACTTCGGCACTTGGGGCTTGTGGTAGGCTTATCCTCTGCCACACCATCCGCCATGGGAGTCTTGCGATCGTGCAACAGTGGTAGCGACCTCCGCGGCGCGGGGATGCCTTCGCATCATTCCGCCCTCAATGACGACTTGGAGCCAGCCGGAATGGAGATTCCAGTTGAGCATGCCCACAATGGGAGCCCTCCACGGTCCTCAGTATTAGATCCAACCGTGTCCGGCGGCACCAGTTATCGGACTCCGAGCAGGTCTTTCTTCCATCGGTCATTTCATAACTCTGCAGGTACGCCGCTCATGTAATCGACTCTTCGTCCCCCAAAGCATAACCCCGCTGTGTCGTCACAATACAATAATGCAGTGCTGACTGTTTGGCCTAGATCCGGCTCATTATTCGTCCCATGGTATGCGAGAACAAACTGCCGAACTGGCATCCTTCGCCTTGTCGCGTGAATCGAACACACTTCCCTCTACGCTCGACGTCTTCCGCCCCCCTCGCGAATCGTCGCTTTCTTCGACCCCGACTCCGATTGCAACGGCTGCAGCAAGGGCTCATCTTGAGGCTGGCCCTTCCTCCATTCCGACGACCGGCTCCTCGGTGCTGACACAACTGATCCGACACCCTGATATCCCGGAATCAAGCCAGACTGAGCATTACCACTCTGAAGAGTGGGAGAGAGCAAGTGACAGTACCGTCTCCCAAGACGAGCTTCCGGTCGTCACGGCCGGAGAGACTGTGAGCACTGAGCAGACTTCATTGTTATCTAAGCCGTCACACCCAAAGCCATATCAAGGCTACGGCGCTACAGGTGATATCGAAAACCAGGGGTATGCGGGAACGAAGGGACCGAGCGCTTTTTCCAGTGCCTTCTCGAGTGCCACTACTTGTTTCCGACTCATAGCCAACCCGAAATCGTGGGACAAACAGGCCGTATGGCGCGAGGGGGTCATTTATCCCCTCAGTCTGTTGCCATCGGTATTCCTCGGTCTGTTGCTCAACATACTCGATGCTTTATCTTACGGAATGATCCTCTTCCCATTGGGTGAGCCGATATTCTCTGACCTTGGATCGGACGGTATCTCCATGTTCTACGTAAGCACGATTATCGCTCAGCTCGTTTTCTCTTGCGGGGGCTCTATATTCCGTGGCGGTATCGGCAGTGAGATGATCGAGGTTGTGCCTTTCTTTCACCAGATGGCTTTCACAATCTTGAATCGAGTTGGAGCGGATAACCCGAAGTCCGTCCTAGCTACCACTATTCTGGCGTTCTCGGTCAGTTCGATTCTGACGGGCCTTGTCTTCTTCCTTATGGGGACTTGCAAGCTAGGAGCCTTGATCGGGTTCTTCCCAAGGCATATTCTTATTGGATGCATCGGTGGTGTGGGCTTTTTCCTCTTGTTGACCGGTCTCGAAGTATCAGCTCGACTGCCGGGATCCTTCGAGTTCACCTTGGCAACAATGGAGAAGTTGGTGCAATTGGACACAGTATTTCTTTGGACGGTGCCCTTGTTCCTCGCGGTCGGCTTGCTTGTTTTGAAGCGTTTTCTGCATTCTAATTTCCTGCTTGGTGGCTATTTTATTTGCGTGGCTGTCGTATTTTATATGGTTGTTCTCAGCGCTGGGGTCTCTATGGGGTCTCTGCGCAACAAAGGATGGGTCTTCGATGCGCCGTCCTCTTCAAATCCGTGGTATCACTTCTATACCCTTTATGGTATGTGAAAGGATCTTCGTGACAGCGGTGACCTTCTAACTATTCATAGACTTCTCTGCTGTTGACTGGGCCGCGTTCGTCGACACGATTCCAGCTATGTTCGCGCTCACTTTCTTCGGCGTCCTGCATGTACCCATCAATGTGCCTGCGCTGGGCATATCGACGGGCGAGGATAATCTCAATGTGGACCGTGAGCTCATCGCGCATGGCGTCACCAATGCCTTGTCCGGCTTCTCGGGCAGCATACAGGTACTACACCTAACAGCTTGCTTGCGGGAAGATTCACTGACATTCATAGAACTACCTTGTATATACTAATAGTCTGTTATTCATTGACAGTGGTGGGAACTCCCGTTTAGCAGGTATCATGCTCGCAGCTGCGACTGCTGGTATCCTCGTCGTCGGCCCGGCGATTGTCGGCTTTATTCCGGTCATGGTTGTCGGTGCTCTCATCTTCCTGCTGGGAATTGAGCTGATGCAAGAGGCCTTGGTGGACACATGGGGGAAATTGCATCGGCATGAATACATCACGGTAAGCTCTAACTCGAGTCTATAATGGCATTGGCTAATTCTGTAGGTTGTCATCATCGTTGCAACTATGGGCGCCTGGGATTTTGTTGTTGGTATTCTTGTTGGTATCATCCTCGCCTGTCTAAGCTTTGTCGTGCAGACTTCTCGCAAGTCTGCTATCCGTGCGACTTTCTCGGGCGGGATTACGGGGTCTACAGTCAGACGTCCTCCTATCCAGCAGCGGTTCCTCAAGGAAGCCGGACAGCAGACCCTTATCATCAAACTTGGCGGATATCTCTTCTTCGGTACCATCGTGAGCGTTGAGAACACGATGAGAGGATTGATTGAGGAAGAGGCATTCAACCGACGGCCCATCCGATTTCTAATCCTTGACTTCTCCAGAGTTTATGGCATCGATTTTTCCGCGGCCGAGGCATTCACCCGCATCAACCGCATTCTTAGCAAGCGGAACGTTCAAATGACCATTTCTGGTCTCGACGTGGAAGGAGAGGTGGGACGTAGTCTCCAGAACGTGGGCTTATTTGAGGCTGTGACAGGGGTGGAAATTTTCGAGGATTTGAACTCGGCGCTCGAGTTCTGTGAGAATGACTATCTGAAAGTGTTCTATAGCCACAGGGAGGCGTTATTGAGAAGACAGCACGGAACAGCTACAAGCTTCTTGGAAGTTCCCGCCCCGCAAGCACCATCCCACCTGGGTGACACGATGGTCAGTTCTCCTCGCCAGCGATACCTACAGCAAGCCGCAAGGAGCACCCTTCGCGAAGACGAAGTCGCAGTAGTCGCACCGGCAGCATGGTCTGCCATGCGTCAGCCGCTCCCGCTGCTCCTCCAGACCTTCCAGGGGATTACCTCCCGAAACGAGGATTTCTGGTTTCCAGTGTGCGCCTATTTCGTGCGAGAAAGCTACGCGGCAGGCACGGTCCTGTTCCGTGAAGGCGATATTCCTATGGGATTCTATCTTCTGGAGTCCGGGATGCTTCGTGCCGAGTACGAACTACCGCAGGGACGATACTTTGAAATCATTGTGGCTGGACGGCCGTGCGGCGAGCTGCCCTTCTTCAGCGAGACCCGCCGGACAGCGACCGTCAAAGCCGAACAGGACTGCGTGAGTTGGTGTTTGAACATGGAGAAATGGCAGGAGCTACGTGAGAACGAGCCGGAGATTGCAAGGGAGCTTCTGACGGTCAGTCTGAAATTGACTACGGAGCGGATGGACAGTATTACTTCGTGAGCATTCCGTCATTCCTGTTCAAGGGATTGTGCTTTCTGACTGACATGATTCCTCTAGTTACGTTCTCACAACAGCGGCCTGATAGCTGTTTCGACTGGTACTTGGGAGTACTGGTTGGTTCCGCCTAAAATGGCATGTTTTGGTATATTTGTTTTGCATAGCATGTTGGTGGTTGACCTTCTTACTACATATTGTATAATGGTTGTGAAGCGTGTGTATGTATGTGTGTCGGCTGCTGTTGATGACCTGGAATGGCGCATAGCTTGGCCGACTACCTAGTTGCCTATGATTATCCTCCAGACTTGATAGTTGCTAAGCGGCCGAGAGGAGTTTCCTACGAGATCAAATGCTGAGCCTCACAGCATAGCTTATTTGATGTAGCGGCTGCATGGCATCACTTGAGTTTTCTCCATGCAGCTTCACTGAAGACTATGCTTCCTCCCCTTGCTCATTCTTCAGAAAGAGATGTGCAGCACATTCTATGGAAAGACAGGCTTTCTGTTGCGGAAGCACAAAGGCTCTGGCGACGATCTTTGAAAATGCTCAGTTCCAGTACGGAGGTTGACATATAGCCTCTGTGGCATACGGACTTGACCGACATGCAACTCATTGTCCAGAATCGATTGCAGTCCGCAACTAGCGGCTATACCCAGGAGTTCTTTGTAATTTAGATGCCAGAACAAGGGGACCTGCTTTCTGTTCACTGATAGTCTTTGATACACAGGCAGTTTGAGAAAATTCTCCATGCTAATCTCCGTTTGCATGCTGCTCGAGAAAACCTCCGCCAAGCCTTCAATCCCTACGGTTTCACCAGCCTCAAAAGCTTATAAAGTCCGCCATGATAACCAAGATATCTGCTACCTCGACCCCTATCCCACCTCGGCTGATTCACTAAACCTCAGAGAAACTGACTCAGCCCCCGATTTCACTAATTATCATCAGGAAAAGGACCCCCGACTAACCATACATAGCATCAACCAGCAAAATGGGCGACCCCACCGACACAGCCTACGGAGGCTCCCAGGCCCTTGAGTCCACCAGCCTTTGGTATGACGCGCTCACCGATCTCTTCCCCTCCGCGGCAGGCTTCACCGTAGACCTAGAAGCCGGGATCCTCGCCCCGATGCGCGAGTCCTACAACTGCATCACCGTGACGTTCCGTAAGCCCGCGCGCGGATCCGACGCTGAAGCAGAAGCAGAAGCAGAAGCAGCAGCCGAGAACGCAGCCGGCAGGGACGGCAGCAGCAGCGGCAGCTCCAGCGACAGGGGAACCATCATCTTCACCCTCATCACCGGCGCGCTGCGACGCCCGCGCGCGCACCCAGGCCACCACGTGCTCGTTCTCCGGGATTTCCTGGCCACACACCACGACCACTACTACCAGCACCACCCGCCCCGGCTGCTGTCGTCGTCGACCGGGCCCATCGTCGGCGCCGTGGTGCTGCCTCGGCTGCCGGTGACGGTGCAGTTCTACCGGTGGGATCCGCGCCACGGCGGGTGGGTGTTGCCCGTCGGGGAGGCGCTCGATGAGGTCGTGGACCGCCAGGGGATCCTGGGGGTGTTGGCTGGGCTCAAGGGGTTGGTGCTGAGTAGTCGGGGGTTTGGGTTGGGGAGGGGGGTTAATTGGGTGGATGATGAGGAGGTGGTGGAGGAGGATTTTCTGGTCGTCGGGGATTAGATTTTTATTAGGATGTGCTCTCGTTTCTGTTGGGATGAGGGGGTGTTTTCTCTGGATTTGAATATGAATATGAATATGAATGAGAAGTATATATTGTAGAATATGTTTGTTCCTGCTGAGTAAATCTTTGAGGTTGTGTGTTGATTGGGTGCGTATGGGGTATGTAGGGTGCAATGTATACAGTATAGTAGTCTAGGGGCTTACTGATGATCTAGATCATTGGTGGCCTCTGCAGTCTGCGCTGCACCTGCATCCAAGAACTACTACTAACTTACTGGGCACGTAAGAGCACGTCTGCTCCACGGCGCTGTCGACTATGGAAACTTCTGTTGAGCATCTGGAAGGGACTTTACCTGTAAGGCAAAAGAACACAAGGCTGGATACCACCACTACTTACTGTACACAGTACACACCCTTCCTTAACCACCTAATGAACTATAGTAGCCGGCATTTTCCCATCCTCCACCCGTCTCCCTCAGCACCACTCCATTCAGATGCACCCACATGACCACTTCACACAATCGATTAACAATTGCGTAGATCAGACCGACCTGATGCCCATCACAGGATCTGAATGCAGGCTCCCCTCACGCGAGCAGAATTCGTCATCTCGTCAGGTGGTGACTGACACTGATACCATCTTAGAGTTCATTGCGCTAGCCCACGAATCTGAGGATGTGCCTCTTGCCTTATCTGTAGGAAGAACCTCGGGTCCGGGGCGGGGGATCTACCGAGTGCATGGGATCAGTGCGGTGCATGGTTTTGGTATATGGTAGGTATGTACAGTATATGGCGTGACAAGGGCACGTCATGCGACTGGCTGTGGGTTCCAGGTTGCCCGCAGCGCCGGGTTTCGCCTGCCGCCCCCGATGTCAGTCCCTCTTGTTTCTTCTGGTCTCCCGTTTGTCTATGGCGGGGTGGGTTGGGGTTTGGGGGGGGTTGGGTGAGGGTGTATCCAGGATTTTTGACTCATCTGTCTCTTTTGCTGTATGTGCTGGACTGCGTTGGGGTTGTAGAGGTTAGTTGGGGAGTGGGAGGGGTGGTGGTCACGTGAGGTGGGCGGCATGAGGACTGAGTACTGAGGGTTCTATGCTCCTGCTGTGACCTGCGCTAACATGGCACTCACTGGTTTTGGGATAGCGGAAGATGCAAGATCTCCAGGGTTGAGCTATGGTTTCTTTGTGGACGGTACCAAGCAAATCTACGTGGTTTGTAGCAGATGGCACCCCCCCGGTTGACTGGGTTCTGATAATGGTACTGTACTGTACCTGGTAGTTAGCTCATGGCGGTAGTCACGGCATCGTCTGGCGATCACTTCCTGCCAATGGGATAGAGATGTATGGTTGGTAGGCCGTTATGTATAGTAGTTACTGTTGTTGCCCTGGTCCTTTCCGCACTGCCGAGATCACCATCGCAGGAGGCTGAAAGGGCCGCGGGAAGTAACGAACAACATGACCATGTTCCGTTTGGACGTACAGTGTGATTCATCATGTCCGTGTGGAGATAACTAGTGCTATGGCAAGGGTCGAGCGCTGATCAGCAACAGGTGATAACCATGACCAGGTAAGCCGCCGAACAGGGTGACCCTCCATGCTGAGGGTCAAATGTCTCAATCCGATATCGCCTTGCAGTAGCCGGCAGCGTGACTTGTATATTTGAGACTCTTGTCTAGTAAGCAGGCAGATTGTTGCGTAGACTAGCTCCGTAGCCCCTCTGTAGTGCAAATTAGCACCCGCGGGGGGCTGAAAAGCCAACCGCCCATTTTGTATCAATATACTAAGTAAAGTCCACCGTTTTGATGTCAGGTGAGAGAAGAGGGGGGCTGCAGGTGGCGTTGAGGCCGGTGAAGGCCTATATTGGGGCGGAAAGTGGTTTCATTTTCTGGTCTGTCAACGAGGATCGTGGACATCGATGTTGGTTGATTTCGTGCTACTCAGTAGGTAGAAACATGAACAGTGGAGCGGGATGACAATCTGGGTTCTGCCGGGGTTATCATAACCCATGATTGGCGATCGCTCATATCTTGTATAGTTGGAGGAAGTGGTGGAGGTGTGAGGGACCCCAGGCGATCATACTAAGTAAAGAGCTGCCATATCTGAGTCCTGAAGGCACTCGGGCACTCATTCATGTGTAGAAGCAATTACTCAGTAGGCAGAAGCTAGAAGTGGTCACGTTTTTGATAGTCGGGGATGATCCAGCGAGGAACTAGCGGAAGTCAATTAGAAGTGGTGATGATTGTCGGGGTATGATGTAGAGCGACGATGATGGGCTAATTGATGGATAGGATTGTCACTTCATGGGATATTCTATAGTAAGTGTACTGCAAACAAACAATCTATCCGCCCCTTTTCCTCTACATCTTTCCAGCAAACGCTTCTTCCGAGGCTCAAAGTATGGGTGCCCCTCCCCAACCACAACCACTACGTTTTCGCTTCCCTCCTACTCCATAGTGATGTTCTAGTCTTCTATCGAGATGCCCGCCGTGGAAGGTCCGATAGCCGGCAGCGCCACCGATTTCCGCGGCCAGTGGACCATCCACGGCTATAACTATGTGTTCGATGGGGTCCTTGGGGAGTGGGAGTCGCAGGCTACTCTCGCGTATATCAACGCGGTGCACCTGACCTGATCGGTGCCTTTTGACCTTGACGACTTGGGTTTTCCATCCCACATTGGGCCCCGTGAGTTTTCCCTCACGTTCAGGGATGAGCGGGGGGCATTTGGAGCGCGGGACAGGAGATGTGAGTAGGTTGGATGCAGATGTGGAGGGGTTTTGAGTATCTAGAGTATGTTGTGGGCAGCGAAATTACGAGTCGACAAGTGGTCCACCGCTTGCTGATTTTCTGTTTCCTGCTTTTCCCGCTATACAACATCATACTATATGGATATGCATGGCTAGAGGGACAGACGTCCAGCAAAAAGTCAGACAGTGGGATTGTCTGGATCAGCAAGCAAGACGGCGGTTCAACACGGGCCAAGCCATTGATCATCAGATCGACGGTGGCCTGATTGGTGGACGGTCGGGGATGGAAGCTCATCAGCTTCTGTTGGTTGGTTCGCTTCACAGCGTGCTGCTGGTCGTTTGAAACGGCCGGGAGGGAAGAACGTAGAATGGAACATTTGGCTAGACTAACTAGTACGTAGTAGTCAGGGAGAAAAAGGGGGAGAATGAGGGGAGCGGGCAAATTGGCCCACTGCGATAACCCTGCTTGCAAACTTGGTTGTATGAGTAGTTTGTACTCGAGTATATCAGAGGGCATGGAGTAGAGTCAGCTTAAAGAGGAGGTTGATTACTCTGTAGAAGGATTGCCAAACGACGTGCCCTTCTATCATGGATTATTGTTGATCATGTTTTCCCGAATAGTGGCTGCTTGGAGCAGATCCCGCGAGCCGCAAATTTGTATATGAATTGCCGTGCAAATGTCATCTCGGAGAACTTCCATGGTACGGACCGTCCATCCAAATCAACGGACGAAGTATGAGCTCTCTCTCATTGGGGATATTCTTCCGCTTCTCTGCTGCCGCTGCCTTGATCATCATTCACGTTGCAAAGCACATACTGCAGAGTCGCGACTCGTGAGACAGGGGATGATGAGAGTGGGGCAGCCTTCCAGCTCTGGCGCTGGAGCTAACAACCAATATCCTATCAACTATCCACTTTTTACCCTCCTGAGTAAGAAGTACGAACTCATGGTCCCAAGGAGATGCTAGTTATTCTATTCCCTTTTACGCCCCCCTCTAGGGAGTAGGGACCTTCTCCCTTTCCCAAATATTTTCCTTGTGTCGTTGAGCACGGGGACGGCTGAGTAAAAAAAAAAAAAAAAAAAAAGGTGCCAGAAGTCTTGTTGGGTAGGTTTGTTTCATCTGCTGCCCAGTGACTTCTACGTTATCGCCTAGTATCGCCAGATTGAATCGAACAAACTCGATGGATCAAGTGGAATAACCTCAACTTTTTGTCCTCCTTTCCGCTCAATAGGCGGCGGAATACTCCCCTCCGACCATATTTCGGCGAATGAGTTTCCGTGACTTCAGTCACGCGAGCCCCAGGGACTTGAATATCTTTCTCTCTTTCTCTCCCAGCGATTCAGCGGCGCCGATAGGGTAGATAAAAAAGATCAGGCAAGGTGGGAAAAGGTTGCCAAAAAAAAAAAAAGATGGAGGGGCTCCTTTCCCGCTGGTTGGTCCTACAATCTTGAACAATGCTGGGCTGTCACGAGGCATTCCGGTCGCATGGACGGGACTGGCTGAGAACCTGCCGGGTGTGGTCGGTTTGGTAGAAGAAGATATTCGGGTTTTCCAAGCAAAGCAAATCAGAGTCCCGTCCAGCATGAACACATTAATGTGGCACAGAGATGACGACGATAGCGAAAAGGAAGACGACAACAACAACAAAATGAAAGATGCTCGCCAAAAACAGCGGGCGGGTAACCGAGCGTTGGAGGGGGGAGCTAAAAAGCTAACTAACTCACTACTCAGACTAGCCCGGCGCTTGATATATTTTCTTCATCATGGTTTGATTCTCTTTGCTGCCGGAGGGGGGGGGTTTGTTTTCCCTCTGGAACGTCGAGATCTAAGTGGATCGGTTGGGCAGGAGCTTACATAGAAGTAAGGTACTAAGTATGTATCTGTTCCCGACCGGCCTTCTGCCAGATGTGAAACATCAATAGTCGGGATTCATTGCGATTCAGTTTTGGCAGCCATCGCCAACCGCCGCGCCAACTTGCAAACGGCGGCGGCGGCAAACATCCAGATCAAGTGACTGAGGTTCAGACTGTAGTATGGAAGCTGGTCTCTGGTCTCTGCCTGGAACGAAGGAGGAGTCATAGACTAACTAGCGAGTAGGTTAGTCTCGAGAATCAACAACAAGAAGCCACTTTGGCTGGAACCCATCTGCTTCTGACCCATGGTTGTGTAACGGACCAGCCTTGGAAGCTAAACCCACCAGGACGATCTGGAAATTCTGAATAGGAGGTTTGGGGTTTGGATGGATGGATGGAAACCGAATGGACGGAGGCCGGGTCCCACAAACACGGTGACCAGGTGACACCACCAACTACTTCACCTGAACAACAATCATAATCATCCATTCATGCGGTTTGGATTTCAGAAAGAATGGTGGTGGGTGTGTGGCAATTAACCTCCATACGGAGCATAATCAATCTACTGTGGTGATTTTAAGGAACTGTATAGTAAGAAGATTGACCCCTCGTTGTTGATCCTCCCAAGCGCCGTTGAAAACCATCTGCACGACCGGTAAAGGAAGAGCCCAGTGCCAAGAAACCCTACAACCACCAAAGGGCGAACCGCGTCCCACGGCAAGACCTTCCATTCCCAGGGCCTTATCATCAGGAGGTTTTTTGTTTTTCTTTTTCCTCTGGTAGGGGGGGGGGGGCGCTTGTCTTGAAGATCGGATTTCACCACGGTTTCAGCAAGCCCTTGACCTCATAGGGGGAGGGGTTGAAGAGAGGGAGGGAGGATTTGAACATTCGTTGGTGAAAGAGGGGCCCTTTTCAAGGGCCTTGATTCTTATTACCCTATTTATTGGGCCGATGAATTTTCGTTCGGCGCGCGCAAGAGGGCCTGCGTCGCGGGAAAAAGCAGAAATTTTTTTCTCTTTTTCGCTTCTTAAGTCTTATTAAGCCTTGAGGGGACGGACTATGCTAGGACGGGTTTTATACTTCGGACCTAATTAACGGGCCATGACCATGGCCAGGGAGGAGGGAGGAGGAGGGAGAGGAGGGGGGAGAAAGAAAGGAGCTTGGACTTTTCGTCTATCATCGTGACGATTGGCAGTCAGACCGGATCGTGTACTATCCAACAGGACGTGCTGGGCTGGTGTCGGAGGCAGCTTCCAGCCTGCAGGATCCGGGCATGCTGCATGGTGAGATTCCGATCGTGATGTATAAGCATGTGGATGTCAGAAAGGAAAAAATCATGAGCTGCAGCATGTAAGTGTCGTAGGTACAGTACTGTACCTGTGGCAGAGGTACACTGTATGTGATCGATGTTTATTTAGTCTAGTTTATGGTCTGATGATGTTGATGATGTTGATGATGGGTCGGTCAACGCGATGGGGCAATACAACCAAACCCCCTGATTTGAGTATAGTAGATAGGTAAGATAGGAAATTAGCTGGCGAGTGAATGAGTCAGGACTCACTACTAAGGTACTTGGTACTTTGAATCGTACTCGTAGTCGCAAGTAGTCGCAATGGTTAATTAAGACCTAAGACTATGGTTAGTTGTAAGTAGTAGATGCTCATAGTAGGCAGAGAAAAAAAACAATCAAAAAATACCTACCTTAAAAAAAAAAAAAAAAGAAAGGCTCCACTCTCCTTTCAAATCTAGCCTCGAGGGCCGCCCGCCCTGCAGCTCCCTGCCTAATTGGGAAGAGACCAGGCCTGCAGGTGCTCAACTTCCACACCCTTTCATTTTCCGCCCTCTCAGGCTCTCACCCTCCCTCCAGCTCCTCCTTTCTCGCCCCTGCTCCTTCCAGCCTGTAGACACACTAGTTCCAGTTCAGTTCAGTTCTGTTCAGTTCAGTTCAGTTGTTCTTCTAGTACCCTCTCCTCGTTTCCTGGCCTTTGAAATTCTCTTCCTTCTTCTTTCCTTCCTTCTTTCTTTCTTCTCTTCTTCTCCTCTTCCTCTCCCCATATACTCATTCTAATCCCCCCCCCTCCCCCAACTCAAAAGAGGTCTTTCTCTTCTCTCCCGAACTTTACCCTTTCTCCTTCATTGTGATACCCAAGCTCTCTAGCTTTGCGCTAAACAGAGCTCTTGTTTCTTTTCCTTCAAGATACCCCCCCCCCCCTTTTCTAAACGATACCCCTCTTCAGCTGAACGCGCGAACTAATCCACGAAGCCACCCCAGCTTCTACAACTCTTAGCTAATTCATCACTATCGACTATAATTACACCTTTAATCAATCTAACCCCAAATATCATCATGTCTGAAGTTCAGAAGCCCGTCGAGGAGACTGCTGCGCCTGTCGTTGCTCCTGTTACCGAAGCGCCTGCCGTCACGGAAGTCGCTGCCACCGAAACTGCCGCTGTCGAGGCTCCCAAGGAGACCCCCGCTGAAGCTGCTGAGGCTACCCCTGCTGCTGCTGCTGCTGAGGAGCCCAAGGCTGATGCCCCCGCTGAGGAGGTCAAGGAGGAGCCCAAGAAGGAGGAGGTGACCCCCGCTGAGGAGGGTGTCCTTGGTTACAAGGCCCCCGGTCTGGTCAAGTAAGGCGCCACTTGTCGCATTGTGAGGTTCGCATGCAGTGACTAATCATGGGTTTCACAACAGGGGTCTGCGTTTTGCTAAGCGCTTCTTCTACTTCCACGATGACGCCGTCGAGGCCAAGCAGCTGTCCGCCTTCCACCAGAACGAGAAGCCTGCTGTCGCCAACCCCATCGCTGCTTGGGCTAGCCAGACCGGCAAGGGTCTCCTTTTCTTGACCAAGCGCGCCGAGGATAAGGCTACCCCTGCTGGTATCTTCAACCTGGTCAGTGCTTGGAAATAGGCGATCTGAGATAATTGAGTGGTGATGCTGACCGAGTTCACAGTCCGAGGTCTCCGATATCGCCAAGGAGGGTGCCAACGAGTTCCACTTCAAGGTCAACGGCCACAAGCACACCTTCCAGGCTGTCAGCAGCGCTGAGCGTGACGGCTGGGTGCTCGCTCTCGAGACCAAGGCTGCCGAGGCCAAGGCTGAGAAGGAGACTATCGTCGCCAGCGAGGGCTACAAGGCTGAGCTGGAGAAGCTGAGTAAGTCTTGCGCCACGGAACAAGAGAGCTTCATCGACTAACACTCTCTAGACAAACCTGCTGTTGCTGAGCCCGCCAAGAAGGCTGTTGAGCCCAAGGAGGAGGCTGCTCCTGCTGAGGAGCCCAAGGACGAGAAGGCTACCGCCAAGAGCCGCTCCCAGTCTCGTAAGCGCGCTAGCATCTTCGGAACCCTCTTGGGCAAGAAGGAGGAGATCGAGGAGAAGAAGGAGGAGCAGAAGGAAGAGAAGGCCGAGGAGGCCAAGGCCGCCGAGCCCGCCGCCGAGGCCCCCGCTGAGGCCCCTGTCGAGACCACTGAGGCGGCCCCTGCTGCTGCCGTGGAGGAAGCTGAGGGTATGTCCCCCACGATCTCCAAGTCATCTACTTCTGACTAACTTCGCGAAAGCCCCCGCCCCCGCCCCCGCCACCCCCGCTCCTGCTGAGACCAGTGACAAGAAGGAGGAGGAGGAGAAGAAGGCCGAGGCTCCTGTTGCCCAGAAGTCCAAGCGCGCTTCTCTTTTCGGCAACTTCTTCCAGAAGGTCACCAGCCCCTCTCACGAGAAGTCGGAGAAGGAGGCTGCCGCTCCCGCTCCCGTTGAGACCCCCGTTGCCAGCAGTGCTCCTCAGCTCGACAACCCCGTCGAGGAGGCCAACGTCAAGCCCATTGAGCCCGAGACTGTGACTGCTGCTGCTGACGCTGAAACTGCCAAGGACGCCACTCCTGCCGCCTCTCCTGCTGCTGCTGAGACCCCCAAGAACAGCCGCCGCACTTCCTTCTTCGGTAACTTCGGCAAGAAGAAGGGCGACTCCGACAACGAGGGCGCCGACGGCGAGGCCAAGCCCAAGGGTAACAAGCTGGGTGGTATCTTCCGCAAGCCCAGCAAGGCTGTGAAGACTGAGGTCAAGGAGACCAAGGAGGCCACCGAGGCTGCTCCTAAGGAGGCTCCCGTCCCGGAGTCCCCCGCTGAGGAGAGTGCCCAGCCTGTTGAGGCTCCTGCTGCCACCGAGGAGGTCGCCCCTGTCAACAACGTCCCTGCCTCCACCCCTGTTCAGGCTGCCGCCTAAATGGTCGGTATTCTGGTTAGAGACAGGTGACCTGTCTGCAATCCGGCGATCCGAGACCCCTCGAATCCAGAAAAAAAAATATAAAATAAAATCTGCTACTTTGGCTTGACGTTGATACTACCCACTTGACTCCTTCATGGACCTCTCTCGTCGAGCGATTGGCGAAGTGATCCGTGTCGAGTGTCAATGATACCCTGTACTGCTTTGGCGGTTATTTCCGAGCCTTGATGTCCCTTCAGGCGTCTTGTGCTGCGTTTCATTCGTTTATGATATCCGTTCCGCAAAAATCCCCATTGGGCCTTGCGTGATCATGTTGTGCGCCGTCCAAACTAGATTGATACCACTTGCTGCTGTTTTTTTCTTTTGCTGTGCTTCCTCGCGATTTGATTGTGACTGCCATTTGATGCATTTGACTGGATACCCTTGTCGGAGGAAAGGATGGTCTCTTTGCTTGTTGAAAGGGTATGGTGCTCATTGTTGACCACTCATCTTGTCCACTATGGTGACTCGATGGTGGGACAGAATGCTGGTCGCGTCATGTATACTTGGGCACCGCATCATTAGGTAATAGCTAATAGAATCTCACGCATTGTTCTGCAATTGGTTCAGGGGGCTACCCCAGGTGTTTATATAAGGTGTCCATGTCCTCCGTGCGTCTGTTCCACATAGTGCGTCTGGTGGAGACAGTTCCGCCCACTTCCGATTTGCTTGTTGTGGTGTGCTCCCCAGCACAGCACAGCATAGCACAGCACAATTGCAGTTAGGCTAGCAGTGACCTGCGTATGGAGATAGTCTCCAAGGACTCTGGCGGTCAGTGTCATGAAAATCGATCAATTCTTGTGGATACCTAAATAACTCCGGGCTATCTCGTACCGCCACCATGAGTGGACCTTACCTGTGCCATGGGGGGTCATTTCGAATGTACTCTAATGTCTTTGAAATTCGACTATTCATCACAACGGATGACCAGCGTAATGCATTTCAATTGGGTATGTCTGCACTGTGTGTGTGAGCTTCCTGTATGGTTCGTCCCCACACAACCTCTCAAGCCCATCGTTGACTAAGCTCGATCTTTAACTAGCTCGCTGTCTACCGGGTCCGAGTTGAACACCGTGGACCGCGGCTGCTCCCTCCTTCAACCACCGGGCCTGACCTATCTTCAAATCACCAATCTTACTGTCATCGGCGCTGGTTTTTGCCGGCCTGACCGTCGTCCGCCGCCCACGACCTCGCATTCAAGGGGGAAAGGTTATGGAGAATTCCCTTGATACCTGTAAATGGGTGTTGCACTTCTCAAGAACGGGCAATGGATGCTGGGCGCGGCCGCCTCTTCGCGCCGGAAAGGGGCTTCGTTTTATACTCATGCATTGTGCAGTCTTCATCTGTTGATGATAGAGATCGCTACTCTGATGTATAAAAGTGCTAAGGGCACCACTGCATTGGCGCTTGCTATTCTGGAAGACTACACGTGGAGAACAGGATCTTGGAGTCGATGGTGGCGTCCGTTGTTCAGAGAGATGGCGATGGGGATGGCGATGGTGAGTTGTTCCTACGACGGACACAGCTCAAGAATGATGAGGCGATGTCTGTCCAAGGCTGTTTGCCGTCTCGACAATACCGATCCATGGCCTTTCGTCCATCATCTTCAAGCCCCCGCTCTCCTCGCCCAGGCGAAGAGTGTTCTGCCCTGGTGTCACTTCCTGCCAGAACGGATAGGCTTCTTGTCTGCCATGTCGACCGAGTTTCTCAACCGATGCAGCGTTAGCTGCGAGGTGGAGGAAGGGGAGCGACGATCCTATACCCTATGCCGGTGGCTTCACGGACGGAGATCTTGGAGACAACCATGCCCTGCCCGCTTTGCTCGTGCATTCGGATCATGGCCTGTACACGATAAGGCTCCTCGGGCAGTGACATACAGTATTTCCTTGAAGAAACTGCAAATGACGATTGGCAACCGCGGGGACTCGGATGGAGGCTAGGCACTTGTGTCCTGTCTGTGAACAACGCTGCTGAGTTCTGGCATCGTACAGTACATTTCCAAACGAGTTTCCAGAATCTTGAGATGGGGTTGAATGCTGCTTCAAGAGGTCGGCTCCAGAATGGTGAGGATATCTACCGAAATTTGGAATCAATACTGCAGAAACTGCTTGCTTGGGACTAGTTGAATTGAGGTAGGAGGAGAGCTGGTTTGGGAATTTGTTGTCACCTATTGCGATGATATCTGCGGCTGCGGTCGGTCGATGGGCTAGGCTCTGGATTGCCTATGGCTGATTGATGACCTACAGGCATTTTCCGATTGAGCCTGATGGCTTTTCGACGATTGTGGTCCATTTGTTTTCAGATGGCTGCAGTGGGAAGTGGGCAGCTAATGTTTGCTTGAGGAAGGAGCTGGCGTACATCACAACGACGCCATCGTCTTTAAAAGAGCTCGGTCTCGAATCCGACTTCAAGCTCACACTACTTCGCGACCAGACAGCCAGCAAGACAAGGAGAAGACTACGTCAGCAAATGGGGGTTTTCTTTACCCCCTCCCCCATGCCCCTATGGCCATTCCTGTGTCGTCCCGGGTGTCGGTTCCGAAGAGACGCCAGCATTTGATACAGGCCCAGCGACGTGCTAGACTGTCTCGGAGCCGGCGGGCTTCGATGTGTGCGAGGCAGCCTTGCCACCTTGCTTGACTTCAGTGTGGTATACTGCCCTGGAGTAAAACTCTATTCTCGATGAGGGCCTGAAAAGACAGAAGACGATCTCTGGGACTGACGAGGTTATTCCCGGAATGGTGGCCCGATACTACGCCTGATGAGGAAGAATTGTGGTAATCATCAGTTGCCTTGGGCGGCCTGCACTGCTGCTGCTGTGGAAGGCTATAGCTACAGTACACTTGAGGGCGCAATTGCTTATTGTGTCCCAAGAATGTAGTATGGTAGAAAAGGGGGAATGACAAACTTTACGAGCTTGACAAGACATGGTCGAGCGGATCGGATGACGTTCGAGGTGCTGTTGGGTCCGATTTTGTTTTTTTCTGGGGTTTGAGTTCGTGCAAAATCATATACGATATGATGTACTGTAGCGTACTGTAGTACTCCAGCTACGGGTACTTCATCCAGTGGTAGATCGATCTTTAGAGTTCCAGGCGATCATACTGGGTGAGAAGCTACTCGTAGGTGGACGATGGTATCGCATCATCATCGCATGGCCATCGGGGTGGGGTACACTTCGGCCGAGATACACTTTCACATTCCTGGTGAGATCGAGGTTATTCTGTCGACAACCATTGGTTTGAGGAAAAAGGTTGATGCCTAGGTATCAGATGAAGATTCTATTATTGTACTACCTAGTATTTTGGATCTACTCTACCTAGTAGGCTGCCATCAACCTGTCCATCCACTGCACCATTCATCATATCATCATATGGATGTCCAGGCTGCGACTGCTGCACTACCCATTGGCCAATCAGAACAAATGGGCCGGTCCGTCTCTCCGTGCAATGCTTACAAACCGGGGATGAGAGGACACGTACGGACTCAACTCCAGTGCTTTCAGATACACCGATCGGCAGTCCACGCGACGGAAAAGCTCACATTAATAATGCTGTTTGTGATAGCTCACTGGTGGTTGCCTCTTTTCTTTCCCGGGCAGCAGAAAGCCGTTAGAATCTGCATGTGCCTGTATGTACAGTACTTTCGAATGTGCGACTGAAGCAGGGCCGGCGGGCCACGCGGCTGCAGTCCGCATCGGCGGCGTATCCATCCCATGCGCAAGGGCTTCTTCGCATCTCCAGTCCGTCGCAGTCGCAGTCCCCACCCGTGGGGGTAAAAATGTGGATGCCACAAAAAGAGAGCGGAAGCAAGCGTCCAAGACACTGTCTCGATTTTCCCCAACCCCTTGGGTCCAGGCTGCCTGCCGGGCATTTGTGTCTTGTTGTCGTCATCCTTGACGACTTTGCTGCCTGTGACCTAGTCAATTGATCCGATCGATCAGATCAACATTTGATGTTATTCTGCGCCTTTGAGTGACATCCCATCTGTTGCATTGAGATTTGACTTTTCATGAATCTTTGGTTTGCTGTGAAGATTTTTTCTCCCCCCCCCCTTTTTTTGCCCTCTACGACAGTAGTCCGGTAGGGTCCGTATCTGCTCCATTCTAAACGATGAACTAACTATACTCTATGGAGGCCCGTTCCTTGGCTGGGTTTGTTACGGAATCTTTCCGTGCAATTTTTGTGAATGATTGTAAGTTGTAAGTTGTCACAGGGCCGGCCCTGTGCCGCCGATACCGGCCCCGGTTGGGTTGGATTGGGGCAAGTGACCTGACCAGACCAAGGAAGTTCAAAAGGGGATTCTCCTCCCTCAGGTGCTGCTGCGCTCTGAGAAAATAAATCGCATTCCATCTCTCATCTAATTGATACCGCCGCCATGCAGGAAACCGGCCTCGAGGATTCTTTCCAAACCTGAACGGGGGTGGAAAGGGCTAAAACTTATGGTCTAACTTCATGGTCGAACCGTCTAATCAAGGCATTCCTGGCTAGTGCAGAGGCCGGAACGTCCCGGTGTCTTGATAGAGTTTGACCGGGTGGAATTTCACGCCCTTCGAGCGATTTTAACGAGCAAAGGAGGGGCCTGCCCTCTGCAGGGCGGGGAGTGAATCGAGTAAATGATCTCCGAAACTCCGACACCAGGAAGGAAGAAGAATGAACTGTGCGTGGGCGTGGTCTTGCACTGTACGTGTACGGATGCAGGAGTTGTCTGCCTAGCACTCAATATGATATCTAGTCGTAATCCAGTCAATCAATCAACAGGCACATGTGCGCAGGTGAGACAGGAGGGTGAGGCTCTTGCTCAGCCCCCAAAGGACGGCCCGGGGGCACTCGGTCAGTGTTGTGCTTCTCCCAATGCAGACCCCGACCCTGCGAGGTGGTTGGTCAATGGATCCGGTGGATGAACCGGTTTCATCATCATTGACCATCCTCCAGCCTGGATCCTGGGACCTTTTTTTCTTTCGTTTTTTCCATTCTAGCGGTGGAGGTGAAGAGGGATACTGGCCAGTGACATTCCCCGCCAGTGTACCTGAACGGTAAAAGGCGGTATTTGGGCGGTACCGCAGTCGTCAACCGACTTCTTCGAGTCCAGCAGGCAGTGAGCCTGCTCCAGGCACGGGAATGCCTGGGGCTCCGACCGGCCCCACCGGCAGCAGGTGTGCATCCAATGAGGACTTCCATAGGCCCTATGACTCACACCTGCTGACCGCGCCAAAAGCATGCTTAGCCCCAAAAGGTTAGAGCGACAGGCGGGGGGCATGGAAACGCTGATTGGTCTCCGTAAAATGGTACTCGGTTTAAGAAGTGCCTGGTTTCCCTTCGCTGCCTGGCGCTTCTCTTTTCCCTCTCTCTTCTTTTATTTTTTTGACATCCCACTTTTTGACTTCGGTCTTTTTACAACCTCAACACCACCATAGATTCACCTTTCCGTCACCATACAGCCATCATACAACGCGACTTCTTCTGATCCATCTATCCAAAATGGCTTTGTAAACGCCTTTCCGCGGTTACACTCGTCTTTCTCAACAGAGACAGACATCATAGATCCTCTTCGGACCTCGTCTTTTTTTCCCCCTTCGTCAACCCCCCCTTCAGAGTTTCCTGTCCCAGGACCTCTGAACTTCAGCATCGCATCGCGTAGCTCAAGTTCTCCCACTCGCACGATTACCCCGTTCGACATTACGTCGTTCACCACGGATAACTTTCAGCAAACATGGCTCCCCACGCCCCCGTCTCAGCAGCCACTGGCTTCAGTTCCGAACAACAACAGCAGCAGCAACAACAACAACAACAACAACAACCTTCCACAGGAAGACTTTGTGCTATTCCCAGCGTCGCAGCCTTCACCCAGGGACTCGCGTGCTCCAGCACCACGGGATCTTACCCTTAATCCTTCGGCCTCATCAAATCTTCTGGTCCCATCTGGGCTACCTACTCGACGACACTCATCAGCGGTACATCACCGGCTCGCAGCCTCGCCTAGTCAGGTTACATCTGCCAGAATAGCGCCTTACAGTTCCGGGTATCATCTGTCTACTACATCTCCTTGGTCTCATCCTTACGCACGGAAGCCAAATTTGCGCCAGTACGCCGCGCCTGCCGCTTCGCCCTCCACCACGCATTTCAATCGTCCTCCAGTTCCTCTTTTCAACGACAACTCAACCACCCCAAAACTCCACGATCAGATCCTCAGAAAACAGCACCTACACTACCTAAAGCGATATCAAAACTACCTCAATAAACAGAATCACCGCCGCAACATGTCTACCTCCATGATTCCGCAAGGTGAGCATGAAGCGACGAGCCGGATGGCTTGTGTCAGTATCGCTAACATCAGAATCGCAGACCTGTCCGAGCTCTTTGACTTCCAGCCTGGCTCCATGGAGGCTACCATGCTTTCTCCTCAGATGATGACTGGCAACTTCTTCGGCCAGGGAGTCGAGGCTGCTCCTCCGGCCACTGTCTCGCCCCAGGACCTCTTCCTTGATGCCTCGTCTCTCGCGCCTCCTCCTTCGGCCACTTTCACTGATTTGAGCACTCCTCCCCTGGCTACGCCTGGCAGCTTCAGCCAGAACACCTCCCCTCTTTTCACGCCTGAAATGGAGTTGATGACCTCTGTCGAAGACTGGGATGCTTTGTTCCCCATCTCGCAGGAGGTGAACCGTCTCGATCAGCTTATCGACCCTGTCGAGATGATCCCGGCTATGGATTCCGGCGAGATGATCCCCCCCTTGCCGCCTACCAAGTCTATGGGTCCCCCGCATTCTCCCATCATCAGAGAAAGCGCCTCTCCCATCATCAGGCAAAGAAAGTCTCCAGCTCCAGCTTCAGGTGTCGCACCTCGCTCTATCTCGCCTCCCACCACCCGCGTCAAGCACTCCACCGTCGCTGGTGTCACCAAGCACTCCACTGTCGCTGGGGTCAACGCTCGTCAGCGCAAGGAACTGGCACCAATCACGTGCGACCCGAGCGATCCGGCCGCTATGAAGCGGGCTCGCAACACTGAAGCGGCTCGCAAGTCACGTGCTCGCAAGTTGGAGCGCCAAGAAGAGTTGGAGCGTCGCGTCGCCGAGCTCGAAGAGTCCCTCCTCCAGGCTCAGCAGAGTGAGCAGTACTGGAAGATGAAGGCTCTCGCTATGGAGGGTCAATAAAAAGTTTATCGGATTTTCATGTGTATGTTTGCGGGTCAAAGGGTTTTGTTATTATGTGTCTGTGCTCATCGTGCACCTGTCGTTTATTTGAGTCTTGTGGACGGGGGCGTCGAGCCTTTTGTCTGTCTCCCGTCGATAGCAGTCGATGACCCTTAATTATCGCCATCAAGCACCGGCTGTTCGACCTGCTATCGACGGGATAAAAGTTTTATATCTGTCACTTGATCATGATCGGTCACCGTGCTTGTCTCGCTGCACTGCCGGACCTTGTGTTGTACTTCTCTCTCGAGGTGGGCTTGACTCCTCAACAAGTCCTCCCTCTCGGTGTGTTTCGCTTCTTACCCCAGTTCAATCAGCTGAGGGTCTTGTTGTTCGGATATGTCGTTTTGTCAAACGGCCGGTTCTGATGTCTCCTGTATATATGGATTGACTCGTGGCCTTAATATCTCTCTATTCCTGTGTTGAGTCTCAAGCTCATTTTGCTCTTGTTTCCACTCAAGCTTGATATTTGTACCAGATTGTGACCATCACGGACTTGCTTATCTTGCTGTTTTCGAATGCTCTCTACTACATTTCCTTGCTTGTATGTGTCTTGCTTCTTGGATCGATCTGGCCACCCTCTCACTGGGTCCTTTCGATGCCTTGAATGAGACACTGGACTGTCATGTTTTTAGCTAGCTGGCTGAAGGCTTCAGTTGTGGGGTTGTCAATTGCCACACGGATTGCTTTCCCCAAATCAACCAAATTCCAGTCTCTGGACACCTGCTCCGTTTGCCGTAATTTCATCGCTTCGTAGTCATCGTAACTGATCATGGTGTTCTTTCCGACATTTTCTAGTCAGAGCTACTATATACCTTATCTACTATATCATTAATGGCTCGAATCGTCCCGTACGTAGCTCTACTACATCGCAGCCATTGTTGCGCTAAATCTAATAATGTCTCTTGCACATGAAGATACTTCTATTGATTGCCCTTCCTCATCCTTACGGGAGTAAGCGCACACTCTGTTCTCTATCACAATACAACCATCTACAACACCATACACGCGCCGGGTTTCCCTTCTACAACCGATTCAACCCACCCGAACCACCACCCCAGATTCCTATGTCCACCCCCTCCGAACTTCCTGCTCCCTTGATAGTATACCTACGACCTCAACCAACAACAAAAGAAAAAAGATACACAGCTCAGACTTGCCTTTAAACACACCTCATCAACACCGAACCCCCCAATTCCCCACTTTCCGCTCCAGTCCATTTCCATCGCCCCAGTGGCACATCTCCACAGGTCCCAAAGAAAAACAGTTCGTTCACCCACTCACCCACTCACATATATCCTCGAACACAGTCATGTAGTTTCTTGAATGATGCAAGGAACAAATATACAGTAATGGAGTTCCAACGTATCGCAATTGGGAAGTACCTATCCCTCTGTTTTTGCCGTGGCCAGAGGTCCTGAGAGGACCTCAGGACCGGCTGACGAAAGGCCAGCGGGCGGTTGCAGTCCCATGCTGTTGGTTTGAAATGGCATGTGTTTGTTGGTGTGGATAATGGAGTGTCTGAATGAATGGTGACTATCTTCCTTTCAGGACTTGAGACAGACAACCCAGGAGGGAAGAAAATGGGTCAGAAGAGGAAAGCAGGACTAGCTAGAGGGGCTGGGTCTCGGAAGTATCTGATTCTTGGGGTTTGTCATCATCTGCTGGATTCTCTTTTGTTTCTGGTGAGGAGATTTGCGGGTGAAAGGGGGGTGGGGGATTGGATTGTGATCGTTTGTTCTACTGTCTCACGGGTGAGCAGACGGTGAAGGGGGGTATGGAGTTATGTTCTGTCTAATATTCAGCTGAGCGCATCGGTGCCTCTTACGCGACCCTTTTCCATCTTTGCGGTTCGGGATCCGAACTGGATGGCGCGTTTCTTTTCGCGGGCGACTTTGGTCATGCCCAGGCGGAGCGCGACCAGGCGCAAGGCTTTCTTTTCCGAGTCGAGTCCTGCTTCTGCTTCTGCTTCTTCTGATCCAAGTTCACTGGCGGCGGTTCCGAAACCGCACTTCTCCCAGACGGGGAGTTGCACGACCCAGGAGACGAAGTGTTCGTCCAGGAACGGGAAGCGCGCTTCGCGGCCCCAGTGGGCGATGACTCGATTGTCACGGCCCAGGTTGCGCTTCCCCAGGCGACTCACATCAAGGTTGATCTCGTCAATCAGACCGGCGAAACCGTCGCGCGAGAAGGCAGCCCCATGTCGTGAGTAGCCGGCAAAAAGCTCGTCTGCACCGAGGCCGGAGAGGAGGACGCGGGCGGAGGTGGTATACGTGGTTGGTACGTGACTGCCCTCCTGCTGGTGGCTATCGTACGCTTGTCCCTGTCCGCGAGAGGCAAAGTACAACGCGCATGCAATAGACAGATCCATCTCCGTGTTGTGCGGCCTCATTAGCCGCTTCACGGTGTCTCGGTGCGCGAGAGTTTCTGTATACGGAATGTCAATGGCGACGAAGCGCCAATTTCGACCGGGGCAGACCCGCTGCAGCTCGGCGAAGGCTGCCCGACCCGTCATTCGATCGGGACAGCTTTCGTACACGGAGCCTATGTCCCCACCCCCACCGTGTTTGACAGCTGCGGCCGCAACGCGTGGGTTCTCAAAAGCGACGTTGAGTAGGTCGATTGTTTCGTTTTCAGGGAGGATCTCATGGGACAGTCTGGCGAGCAAGGAGCAGTCAAGCCCTCCTGAGAACAACACAGCAACTTTGACTTTGCTACCTGTCGGTGATGTGGGAGGTTCTCGCACATTGTTTATTCGTAACTCTAAGGATTGACGTAGCTTGTGTTCTAAGGCTGGGATGACTGGGGTTTCGGCAGTCAGTGGTGGAGCGGTGGATCCTTCGGGGAGAGACCGGTTCATTGGAGGAATGGGGGTTTTCTAGTTTGTTGTTAGCAGTTGCGATCGTTGCGAGAGACGTAGGAGAAGCGCATACTGGACGAAGAGGGGATTCTTCCTGATCCCAGAGCAGGGTGTGTATACTGTCCGTAGAGAAAACGGCAGCACTGCCGCTGGCTCTTGAGCTCGGGCCTGAGGGACTGGAAGCATACCCGAGGTCGATCATATATACTCCATCTGTCTCGACCTCGGTGAAATGAGTGGTGGTTGTGCTGTCACACAGACTGCAGACCTTGAAGTTGCCCTCGTCATCGACACCCTGCAACAGGGAGCGACGTCCCAGAGAGTCCCTGGTGAAGTATATCTTCGAGTTGACTGCATCGTAGAACACAAAGGCGAAAGGGCCAGATATACTACTGATGACATCCACTACCCTTTGGACGATATCCGAAGAGTTCTGCTGTTCCGATGAGTCTGCATTCGGCCTGTTCACGGCTTCCAACAAGAGACTAAAGATCAGTTCAGCATCATTGCCCTTAATTGATTCACCTTTGATCTTCCAGGCGTCACCATTGAAGCAGAGCACAGATGCGGTAGTCGCATCTACCAGAGGTTGAGGGACCACATGGTCGCCTCTCATCGACAAGACTGTCGAGGCGAAGCTAAGAAAAACAGTTGCGGATGCTCCGCTGATTGTTTGTTTGCCGATCACATTGTGTTCCACAGTGTGGACGTGGTAGTTGTCCGGTCCCCTGCACCGTAGCAAGCAGCATGTCTCCTCATTCGGAAGCACAGCTTTCCAAGCTCCCAGCGAGAAGAAGATACCGCACATGATAGTACCCAAGCCGCGAGCAAATGCGCAGGCGAGGGGGTGGGTTGTTGACGAAAGAGAATTGGCGGAAAGCGCCACAAGAAAGGCGCGCGGAGGTCGGGGTAACGATGATCCCCCCCGCCGCTGATTGCGGGCTGACATCCTCGGAGCTGTCGGGGACTCGGAGCTCATCTTCCCCTCATCCCAGGCAAGCGCTTGCTTTGCAGGTTTGATTTTGCTTACTTTTGAAGGTGGTGACTGTATGTATAAACAATACTGAGTCCGGTTTACCCTCTCCTTCTGCTTCCACAGTTGAGGCTGATGACAGTTGCCGCGCGACAGCTCCGACGCCCACTCCGTCCCCGAATGCCCCCACTCCAGGATGATCCGTGTTGCTACCTAACGCATTCTTTCTAATTTTCTTGCTTGACGTCGACGTGCATGCCGGTAGCTTATGTCTGCCACAGAACCCTCGGAGTCGCCGGCTTCCCCTATTCAAGGGGAGCACCAACAGCCCATTCTCGATGAAGGAAGTCGCAGTGACCCTCAAGTGACTACTGCCGGCCTCGAATCAACGGCGCAGAGTCAGGATGATATTTCTCCCCTACCCAAAGATCCCAAGCCAGTCGAGATGAATCAAGACCCTCAACCCGAGGCGCAGAGCGCCGCTACACATTCCCCGCATCCACCCTCTACGCCAGCCGAGAATCCGCAGTCACTTCCCGAGAAGTTGCAGGGGCTTTCGATCGTGACCACCAAGACCCCCGAACCTGTCGCAGCCCCTGGTACCGACATACCCCCCACTCCTCCTGCTAAAGACGAGTCGTACTTCACCTCGAAGACCCTATCTGCCGGGCCCACCCGTACCCCTCCAACTGTCCTCTCCGAGAAGACCAACAAAGAATTACCTGAGGTTCCCGGCGATGTTGCAGGAAGGATCAAGAAAGATACAGTCGGCGGAGGTGAGGGCCAGGACAGCGACTCCCAGTCAGAGATTCAAAGTATCATCGACCAGTTTCAGGACACGGCACATGCCGACAAGGAGGAGACCATCATGTCACCCCGGCTGGAGCTGGCGGAACAATTCTTCGGTGGGCAGGGTCATTTCCCGCCACGCCAATCGAGCCTAGAACACAGCAAGACGAGTCCAGATGAGATCCCTCTACCCGGTGCTTCGATCGCCTCGCCTGAGAAGCAGTCCATCAAGTCCCTACGTGAGAGTTCCATCACTGAGGAAGCAAGGTTGAGCCGGCGATCGTCGACGTCGACGATTCCTCCACCCCCTGAACCCGAATCTGATCAACCATTCGATTTCCATCGCTTCCTGGAGCAACTACGGCATCGCACGGCAGACCCGGTCGCCAAGTTCCTAAGGTCTTTTCTGAACGAGTTCGGCAAGAGACAATGGATGGTCCATGAGCAGGTTAAGATCATTAGCGACTTCTTGGTCTTTATCACCAACAAGATGGCTCAGTGTGAGGTATGGCGCGGTGTCTCTGACAGTGAATTCGACAACGCCAAAGAGGGTATGGAGAAGCTGGTTATGAATCGACTGTACTCTCAAACGTTCTCCCCGGCTATACCTGGCCCGCCTACGATTCCCAGAAGCGCGAGCAGAAGCAAGCGGAGAGAGCTGGAAAGGAACCATGGGCCATGGAGGCGGGGACAACACCAAGAAGATATTGAGCGGGATGAAGTCCTGACTCAGAAGATGCGCATATATAGTTGGGTGAAGGAGGAGCATCTCGACATACCACCTGTGAGCACACATGGTCGGCGCTTTTTGAATTTAGCCCAGCAAGGTTAGTGCACTTGATTGCTTCTCCTAGGGTGACTGCTTACAAGGTACAGAACTGCTGAAGATCAACGGCTACCGGGCGCCCCGTGATAAGGTCATTTGTATTCTCAACTGCTGCAAGGTGATTTTCGGTAGGTGAACAACATATCCGCAGGGTTGAGAACGGAAAATATTGATAGTCACTCCAGGCCTGCTGAGAAACTCGAAGCGATCCGATACATCGGCAGATTCTTTCGTTCCACTCCTAATCTATGTGGTGCTGCAGGCCAACCCTGCACACTTGGTATCCAACATCCAATACATTCTGCGCTTCCGTAATCAAGAGAAGCTCGGAGGCGAAGCCGGTTATTACCTATCATCCTTGGTTAGTCGACCATGTCTGTCACTTTTCTATTTCACGGCTGCATTCTGACTTGATGTCTAGTCCGGAGCTATTCAATTTATCGAAACCCTTGACCGCACGAGTCTCACAGTGAGTGATGAAGACTTTGAGCGGAACGTTGAAGCTGCTGTTTCAGCTATCGCTCAACAAAACCGTGAGTCGGAGACCAAGGAGCGCGAGCGCAAGTCATTGGAGCGCAGATCTATGGAGCGTTCCGCCGAGAGCTCGCAAGCAGCCTCTGTGCCGCGTGCCTCGATGGATACTCCACGTCCACCTGGGCGGAGAGACACCCCACAGCCTAGTGACGAAGATCAAGCGCCTGTAGCAGGGCTGCTGCGCACCATTCAAAAACCACTGTCCACTATTGGCAGGCTCTTCTCTGACGAGCCGGATTCACCCCAAGATCGCCCTGCGCGGTCGGGATCGCCCGCGCGACTCACACCGAATGTATATCAACCGCCGCGTAACAGCAGTGAGGGAAGACGATCGGTTGAACGACCACGCAGTGCCATGCCGCCACAGTCGACTAGAGCCCTCGATTCTCAGGATGCTGCCGCTCGCCAGGCTAGCGCCGAGGACGCCGAGGCCCGTAGGATACAACGTGCTGAGCACAACAACGTGGTGGAGACGTTGTCGAACATGTTTCCCAATCTTGACCGTGACGTGATTGATGATGTTGTCAAGATAAAGGAGGGCCGGTAAGTCACATTTGCAGACTCGCCAAGGAAGTCTCGAGCTGACACCGGCAATAGGGTTGGTTTGGCTGTTGACGCGTGCCTCGCCCTCAGTGCGGAGTGAAAGGGGGGTTGACATCTATGAGTGATGGGGGATAAGCACGTAGTGACGGGGCATTGGTGCATGAATGGAGCTCATGCTGTAGCTAAGTGTATCTTGATCACCTGAGCTACATGCACATAATATGACAGTGCTGTCGGGAATGGCCTTAGCTACTAGGTATAGAACATTCAAGTCGAAATCGAGACTGCTTGAGCAATAGCGATTATGCTGCGATCTTACCCCGTACATACATCGACCTTTAGCCTGTAAGTACATCTTGTACATCTCGTACATCTTGAGATAAACTAAGAGCCGCGGGCCCTCCTATTTCCTACCCTCTCCTACTACGGAGTACAGCTGGCAGTGCCCGAGGCTGGAGCCTGGAGCTGAGCTGGAGCTCATCCCTTCCTTCCCAATGCAGTAACCTTAAGGGATGCAGCATGTGAATCACATGACCTCTCTCCACCAATCGCAAGCCGCCTCAGGGTCTCGCTTCCGCCTAGCGCGCGCTCGGTCCCCACCGGGCGGCGTATATAAACCACGTCCGCCCGCCGCCGTTTTACTCTTTTTCTTTTTTCTTTTCTTCATACTTACCTTGTTTGGGTGACTGCGATCAAGAAGGCGGTTCACCACAGATTGGTCCCTGCATTGCACAGCGCGGCGGAACAGTCTGTTCAACGGCCTTCGGGTCATTGACAGGCGTATTCTTTGGCACTCTTCTCTCTTGAGAGAAATCTTTTTCCTTTTCATCAGATCTCGGGCCAGTGGCGCGAGGGTGGAGAAGAGGTTCTATGTAGTTTTTGTTTCGGTGGCGTGGATTTCGAGAGTAGATATTTGTGTTCGAAGGAGCGCGACGGTTGTGGCTGGCTGAGCTTGAGTATCGCCCCTTGTAGCGACGCTCCGGTCGAGCTGAAGCTAGCTAGCAAGTCATCCCGATGACGTTGGAATTGCCACCCTCCTTTCCTTATATAATGTGTCTTCCTGCTCACGACCTGTCACCAAACAACAACCTGCCTAACTTAATTGATTACTTGTCTTGTCCATCTCTCCTCACTCACCCACGAGCCTACTTCCTACACACCTCGCACTCAACCCGCGAACCAACCATTCAAAATGCCTATCCCAATCCCCCCCGCCCTTATGGACGACACCACCCAGTCCTCGCTCGCCACCGAGCACAACACTACCTCCACCTCCACCAACACCACAAACCCAAGCTTTTCCTCGTCATCGTCATCGACCTCGCAATCCGACAACGACAGACCACTGAGCAAGGAGGAAGCCGACCGGTTATACGAAGAGAGAATGGAGGAAGAGTACGCGAAGCGCGAGGGAGGTGCTTGAGCAGACCCAGCAGCACCATCACCTTTCTACCTGAGGGAATGAATCCGTCTGTGTATATCTATCTGTGAACATATCATACATTATACAATACGTCACTCAACAACTCCGTCATTCCTGCTCCTGCGTCCGCATTGTAAAGCTGCAATAAGCGCAAATCCTCCTCGTATAACACGTAGTTAGTCCTGCCGTACACACGTCAACCAACGGTGGCGTAAAGGGAAATATGGGTAGAATGCAGCGCCTTCCCCGGTTTCACCAAAATACCCCCAAAAAGAAAGTAAAATGAAACCCACCACCCGATTCGAACCCCCGCCATCCTCCCTCTCTCCACCAGGGCATGACACCCCTACCTCGAAAAGAGGTCTGAGAAACATACAAAAAAAACTGGTAGCTTCTCTTTGATTGAGCGTGTCATCCTTAGTGCAGGGGCCATGCTAATCTTCTCTGTATCGTTTCAAATTGACCAAATGCCCGAAGGCACCAGGAGAAGATTGCATTGGCACATATGGGAAGAACGGCTAAAACGGAGAGGACTAATTGGTTGGCTGGGCTGGGCGGTGCGGGAGGGCAGAATTGGCGGGGTCTCCCCTTTGGTTCACGGGGTTGAATGTTGGTAGTAGAATAGTATTCTAAAGATCGGGATCTAGTTTGCGCTGCTTGATGGGGGATCAAGGGTTGATTGAGAGTGGTTGCGGGTGCGGGAGATTGAAGGAGGTATGGTGTATGCGCAGTGCCTGCTGGAATGGTCTGTTGTTGGTGGGGGAAAGGGTCCCTCCTAGGTCAAATTCACCCCGCTTGTTGCGCGCCTCAGGGTCTGCTTCCCTGGGTTTCAGTTGTCGCAAGCGGCAGATGGGCTTAGCATTAGCAGAATGGCCATCCCTAGAATTGACAGTCCAGCAGGCGCTGTGATAGCGGGGACACGTTCAGTGCACCAGGGTCTAGAGTCCAGAGTACAGTACAACAAGAAGCAAGAAGCAAGAAGGAGAATAGATACTCCTCCGCATTGCCAGGGAGTGGGCGGGACGGCTACAGGCTAGCAAGTCTAGCTCCTCATCCGCTCCAGCATCCATTGGCTTAGCTTCGAGCCTTCTATCAATTCGCATCGATCGTTTTGAACATATGTGAGTGGATGAATTCTCATAGCAATGTATCTATTGCCCGAGTTCCCATGCAGGATAAGACATATATCAGAGCTTCGCTGCGCTGGACCACTGAGAAGAAAAGATGTCCAGCGAACGTAGTGATGCAGTGTCTAAACAGACTTTTGACCTTGAGTCCTGGAAAAGTTCCTCTAACACTTGGGTTATCCACTTCGTGCTCGGGAGTCAGCCAAAGAGGCACTAGAGACTCCTACACCGCTTTGTTGATGCAGGACAAGCTCATTGAAGTGACTCGAGCGTCGGGAACTTGCATACAGACATGCTGTCTGTTCGGAGTTTTTTCTTCGCAAACGTGCCAGTTGAAATCGATATATCTACTCTACACATCATACACGCTGTATTAATGAGATTTCATGCGATGTAAGCCCTCACCTGCTACTGACGTATACACGCGAGTATCATATTCTTGCCGACAGAAATGTATAGTTATACCGGTCTTGTTGTCTTCGCCCTTATACTTCAGACCCTAGCAACCGTCTCGCCAGACCCAAGCGACGAACCATCGCCTCGACCAGACCTCCGTGAACCCAGAGCAAATCTGTACGTTGTTTCTACCATTATGTTCTACCGACTGGGAGACGATACCAGCCTCAATCCACAGAGCTACGCAGACCATCACTATCCCGGAGATCCATTTCCCAACGTCCGTTGAGTCGGTGCTCAGAACGGCACTCCCGACATCCTATCTCTCCCAGTTGACCGACCCGTCCGCTCGGGCGTCTATCATCAGCGAGATTCGAGACGGTCTTCGCCCTGAGTGGTATAGTACGCTGCCTGCGGATGTGAAGCACTTCTTTTCTACGGCTTACACGGCTGCTGATCTGTGCCATAAGAAGTCCCGTGGTGGAGTGCCTGCACCTGCACTGACTGACCTGGGGCCTAAGGCGATGGGTGTCGCTGCGGTCATGGGCGTGGTGAACGCTCTTTAAAGTGCTCATTGGTCTTGTCCAGTAGAGGAGATATGAAGAGGAGCAATTGGTTATATGTGTTGCGTTAGTGAATGAGCTAAGGGTCATTTTTCCGGACCTAGATTCTGCTTCTTGACATTGTTGTTTCATATTTCTCATTGTCTGCTTCCGCCTCAGGCAACATGGATCGTCATATCGCCGGTAGCAATCGAAGGTCTCAGTCGGCTTCCCCTTGTTGACATAGATTTCTGTTGTGTATCGAGGCTCTACATCCCCATGAGACATAGCTTGCCTGTCCAGTCAGATGAGCAAGCAAGGAAATAACAGGGGTAATAGTCGATGACCCATAAATTGAGTCGATAGAGGCCTCGTGTTTCCAGCAGATGTCCCCACGCCAAGCTTCAAGAAGTCTCCGAGAAACAAGCATCTGAACAATAGTCCTCCAGAATCGAAGCCGTCCAGCCAAGACCGGTACGTATTCAGGTCCCATTCTTGACTCGTAACCCGAGGGAAACCAGGTGGATATACTTCCCTGAATGCGGAACTAATATCCCTTGGCAAAGTCAGTGCTCCATGCTGCTGGAAAAAATACTATAACAGAAACTCCCTGCGCTGGGAAATTTTCTAGCGTGTCTCCAAATCTGTTGGAGAGCTGCCACTATCGATAAATAGATCCTGGGCCGTCTGGGGCGAGCTTACGGCCTGTGTCCGAGACCGGGCAATATCCGCAGAAGACTGCAGAGATGTGGTGAGCGTGCGCAGAAAACAAAACCTAAACAGGTAGCCTTCGCCGAATGGGAAGCACCAGCACATTTGCGCTGTCGTATTTACGGCGCAAATGCTATGCTAAATGCTAGCACCCCTGTAGTTCAGACAGCGTGGTCTGCACTGGTGCCTTGTGCTGCGGCTGTGCTATGATGTTGCAAGCTCGATCATGATGTCAACCATGACAGCGAAGCCGTTGAACAATGGGATGATGGTCACGGAAGCTTGAGCTGATCCGGACGATCTCAGGGTCGGAGATGAGACAGAGTCGGGCAAGACGCTGTAACGCGACCATGACGCCAGAGAACATGACACGAACCCCGCCCAGGAAGTCTCATAGTGTCCCCTAACACCCAAGTGAGGCGGCGAGCCGTGTCGGATGCGGTGCGGGGATTCTCGACAAGCTCCTTCTTCGGTGTCTGGCTGCAGCAATGGTTGACCCTCTCGGGAAATTCCCACTTCTCTACCTCCAAGAGGTATCGATTAGCCAAGTCCGAGCGAGGTGGTATCTCCAGTAGCTGGGACTGGCCACTCAGCAGACTGGTAAATGTCATCAAACGCGGTGTTTTCACCAATCAGTCTCGGGGTATTGGGTTAACGCCGAAGGAATTCGAGCGCGGTCCGCGGATGATCTTCTCCCGCTGACCATTATCCACACCCTCATTGGCGGACAACCAGACAGCCTGGAAGGGCCTTCCCACGTAAAGAAGAAAAGTTGTTTTCTAAGAGGATCCAAAGGGGGTCCCTATAAATAAATGGAAGGACTCCTCTTCAGATGAGATGAGGGGTACTCTTGAGTTGTGAAGATCAAATCGAACAAGAAATCTTCCAGAATCATTCATTGTGACGACCTCAACTGCCTCTTTTCCAGCCTTACCGGAATTGCAGCTGCGAAGGTCTAGATTCGATCCGGCCTCGCTTTTTCCGCTGGCCCAGTCCTGACGTCAGGCCTCAGGCCAACCAACACCAACACCAACACCAACAAACCATCCCATTATCGAATCCTGAAATCCCTCCATTCTATATCATCAAACAAACATAATCTCTACATCATGGCGCTTCTTTTCATCAAACAAAAGCTCTTCCCTGGAAGTCAACAAAAAGCTTCCAGCCCATTCGGTTCGTGCCCCACTTGTCCTGAGTTTGGCCTCCAGCCCTAAAAGCATAAGCTAAACATACTATACTTCCAGGCAAGCCGTTGTTGTCCAACTCCGAAGCCGATGAAATCTATGTCAACCGCGACCTGGAGGCTCAACGCTCCTACGACACTTTCCGCCCTGAATCCCCCGTCTCGGATGTGGACAGCACCAGCACCAGCACAAGCTCACGGTCGCGCATCAACCCCCGTATTGTCTCCGATGCCATTCTGGGTCTGTCGGACGGATTGACCGTGCCGTTCGCGCTGAGCGCGGGTCTTTCTGCCCTCGGAAACACCAAGGTGGTCGTGCTGGGTGGCTTGGCCGAGCTGACCGCTGGTGCCATCTCCATGGGACTGGGCGGGTACGTTGGAGCCAAGAGTGAAGCGTGAGTTGTTCCTTGCCCTGCCATACTTTCACACCTTCGTTAACAGGCATCGCAGCGAGTCGTACGAAGCCACCGTCCGCGAAGCCAAGGAGCTGATCGCCTCGTCGCCCGCCGAAACCACCGCCATTGTCCACTCCATCTTCTCGTCGTACCGTCTCCCCGCCGAAGTCATCTCGGAGATCAGCCACTCGCTGCACGCCTCGGAGGAGCGTCTCCTGGAGTTCCTCATCAGCTTCCACCACAAGGAGTCCCAGCCCGACTGCAACCAGGCCTGGATCTCGGCGATCACGCTGGCGCTGGGCTACTTCGTCGGCGGCTTCATCCCGCTCATCCCGTACTTCTTCGTCAACCAGGTCATCCTCGCGCTGTACATGAGCATCGGCGTCATGGCCGTCACGCTCCTGGCCTTCGGGTACATCAAGACGTGTGTCGTGCGCGGCTGGACCGGACGCGACAACATCGTGGCCGGGCTCAAGGGCGGCGTGCAGATGGTGTTTGTGGGTGGTGTGGCGGCGGGGGCAGCCATTGCTCTGGTGCGACTGATCGACGCGGGGGATGTATAACCACACTGCACCGGAGAGACCTTGACACTCGTCTGGCCAGCGCCAGCGCCAGCGCCAACGCCAACCTCCCTCTCGACCTTCTCGGTCTTCGACACCAAAAGTTCACTCACGCCCTAATGACATGTACAAAACATATAGATACCACGGATATAGAGCCGGCGTTAATGCTTCCATACAACAACATAATAATGAAAAATCTCATTCACACACATCATAGACCAATCCCTCCACCTTCCAAACAATAAACCACCCCCCCCTCCCCAACAAAAAAACCTCCCCATCCCCATCCTCATCCCAAAACTAAGAATCCCCCAGCGCCAACCCCACCAACTCCCGCCCCCTCTCCCCCAACTTAACCTCCGTCAACGCCAACTCCCTCCCGCGCTCGGACATCTTCCCCCACGTCTTGCGCAGGATCGCCACGACCTTGTCCTCCTCATACCCGCCCTGGAACTGTTCGAGTTGCTCCTCCAGAAACACGAGGCACGCCACATCCTCGAGCACCTGCGCCTCGGCGTCCACCTCCTGCCCCTTCAGCCCTTCCTTCCGGATCAGCCGCCCGACGCGCTGCGCCTCGGCCTCCGCGATCCCGCTCGCCGCGCACACCTCTATCGCCAGCGCCGCCTGCCGCCGCGCCAGCCCCGTCCGCCACGCGTAGTACCCCGCCTTGCCGGCCGGGTAGGTCGCGCGCGGCACCTCCCAGCGCTTGAGGTGCTGGGCGCGGATGGCGAGTTGGAGCGCTGCGGAGGGGGACTCCGGGGCCGCGATGTGCCGGTAGAGCCAGGCGGTCATGCGCTGGGCGTAGTGGAGTTCGTTGGGGGTGCCGGTTGCGGTGGTGGTGGGGTCGGCGCTGTGCAGGGCGTCGATGGCCTGCAGAGCGTGGGTGAGGGGGTCCATTTTTTGGGAAGGGGGGGGGGGGGGGGGGGTTTTTTTTTTTTTTTTTTTTTTTTTTTGATGGTCTCTGGAGGAGAATTAGGTGCGTGTAGTGGAGGTTCCGTTGTCTGGAGGTGGGTATACCAACAATTGACTGTTGAGTGATGGGGTTGATAGATCTGTACCTAGTTGTGGTGCCCGGTGGTGCAGGTGCAGTGGGGGAGGAACGCCTAAGTATTTCTGATAATCAAATGCCGGGGACGGGATTGGGCCGATCTCGGGTCTGTGGGTGGGGACTTTTATCTGCTATCGATAACATACGCGGGCTTTGTCCTTCCTTATCGATAACCATGGATTATTTTGTGCAGTACGGTACTTTCTGAGGCGAGGGGTGGGTTCGCCTGCACTGTACCTACAGCTTAGATCTGTAGGATGTACACTCAAATAGCCATTCATAATCCACATCAAGCTTACTGCCACTGACTCCCAAGCGCTAAAAACTCCTGCCCCCGCGCCAATGACCGCGATGGCTCCGCACCCAACCACTCCGGCTCCAGGCGATCGAGATTGTCCTCGATTTCCCATCCCCGCCCCCCCTCGACAAAGATCGACTTCCCATTGATGGTCGGGTCCGCGACCAAGCCCGCTACGATGGTCGCCACGCTCAACGGGGAGTTCACCGGTAGCTGAGCCTGCTTCCAGCCTTCCTGGAGGTTCTTCACCATCTCGGTGTCTGTCATCCACGGGCAAACGGCATTGACGCGCAGCTGGTGCGCCGGGGCCGGAAGATACGGCCGCAGCGAGCGCATCAGCCCCAAGACGCCGTGCTTGGTCGCCTGGTAGAGGAACATCCCCGGGGTCTCCTTGAAGCCCGCGACGGAGGAGAAGAGCGTGAGGGAGCGGTCGGTGTGCGACGGTCGGTTCTGGCGGAGATACACGGCAGCGATGCGAGCCACATAGAGGGTCCCGAGAAGGTTGACGTTGAGGACGGTTGTGGAGGGGGTCTGTGCGGTGTTTGTGTCGTGTCAGCGCAAGCGGATCTGGGAGAAGGTAGTCTGCCTCCTATCTTACCTCCCGCACGCTCTCTAACGTGAGATCAGGATCGAACCAGTTTCCGATCTCCAGGACGCCCGCCCCGGCGACGACGTGGTCGATCCGCCCGTAGGTCTTGTAAGCGGCGTCGAATAGATCGAGGATGGATTGGTAGTCGGTCACGTCGGTCTCTCGGAATATCGCTCTCGGGGGAGCGGATGTCGACGATGCAGCGCATACGCGCTCGACGAGGTTCGCGCCAGCTGCGACGGCGACATCACCAACGCAGGCGTAGGCCCCGTGCTCGCAGATGCATTCCACCAGACTCGCGCCGATGCCATTTGCCCCTCCTAGTTATGATTGGGTTAGCGCCTGCCTTAGATAATATTCCCGAGGCTCGTGCGCGAGAGGAGCGCACCAGTGATCAAAATGACTTTGTTCCGCAACGAGTCTGCTGTGAGGCTACTATCCGGGTGAAAACGAGCCATTTTCTTCGAACCTGCTGAGCGTGTAGGTCATCCTCAGTGTCTGGGCGGGCAATGCCAGGCTTTAACTCTTTATCCTGCGTCAATCGTGATAGACTTGGTCTTCCTTGGTTGTGTCGGTGCAGATGATGCGCGCAAAGTCTGGTTCGGTATACGAACGGATCTGCATGTGCTCCATCGTCATATGTGGGGAAGCCGAAGCCGGGGTCGCGATATGACAGGCGGGTTTCCCGAGCTCGGTCCTGCAGCTGCACCGCTGAAGAATCCACTGAGATCACGGAGTATGTAGTTCCCTGAAATCATCAGCTGGTCCCGGGAATCCGGATATACACTACAGACGAGGGGTAACACTTTAAAAAGAGACAATGCGGTACGTGGGGAGGATGTTTCCTGAACGTTGAAGTACGACTTTTCTCCTTCTTTACTTTCACCATCTACTCCACCTATACATCTCCTCACCACCACAACAAAAACGAAATGCTCGAAACCCACCACCACATCGCCTCGACCAAAGGCCTCTCGAGCCTCACCACCCTGATCACCGACCCCACCACCGGCGCCGCCATCCTGATCGACCCCCCGTTCCTGCTCCCGGACGCCCACTCCGTCCTCGCCTGGATCCCCACCACGTCCGCCGCGGGGGGCTCGCAACCCGACCTCAAAGCCATCTTCGTCACCCACCACCACCCGGACCACTTCTTCTCCGCCAACCCCATCCTCGACGCCTACCCGGCCGCCAAGTTCTACGCGGCGCCCTACGTCCTCGCCGGCATCGAGCGCGAGTACGCCGAGAAGGTGGCCTACTGGCCCTCCGTGCTGGGCACGGAGAATGTGCCGGCCGCGCCCCGGAAGCCCGAACCCTTCCCCTTCAGCTTCTTCCTGTTGGAAGCGGCCCCCGAGAGTCCGGTTGTCCTGCTGGGACCGCTGCAAGGCGACGCGGTCGATCACACGGTGTTCTGGTTGCCCACGGAGCGGACGGTCGTCTGTGGGGATACGGTGTATGGGAGGAGTACGCATGTTTGGTAGGGTTTTCTTCTTCTTTTATTCTTGATCTGCACGAGAACCTAGGTTCTTCGGGGGTGGTGGGGGGTTAAGGTACAGTAAGATGCTGTACTATACTATACAATCCTACCTCGGCACCTACCTACAATCTGCCGATCTCATATCCGTGCCCCCGCTCGAGTGAGGAACTATATCCCAACCTCCGACCTTCCCATAACCCTCCTGCCCACACACACACACACACACCCTTAGACCTACCCACACATACCGCACCTCATCAGTTACCCCCCCCTCCTGCAAAAATCTATCATCCAAACTAACCCACCCCCCGGAAAAAAGGGTCGAAGAACTCGAAACCCCCGCCCTCCTCGAAAGCTGGCGCAAGACCCTCGACCTCCTCGCCCTGCTGCAGCCCACCAAGCTCATCCCGGGCCACCTGGAGGCGGGCTGGTCGCTGGACAGCGCCGCGGACCTGGCCCACACGCGCCGGTACCTGGACGTGTTCGCCGACAAGGTGACGTACGCGGCCACGCAGCCGGGCGTCCAGGAGCTGTACGACTTCTTCCGGGACGAGTTCCCGCAGTGCCGCGAGAACCTGGACTTCTTTCTGGGCCACCTGGCGAATCAGTTCGGGGAGGGCGGCACGGTCTGGGCGGAGAATCGGTGTCAGGATGTGGGGGCCCGGACGGTGGAGGGGTTGTGTGGGTATTGGTTTCGATGATTTCTCGCGTCCTTGCTACGGGTGGAGATGGAGAGGGAAGGGATGAGGGCTAGTTAATGGCATGCGTTAGCTTGAAACAGCTACAGGTTATGTCTTCAGTATCTTCTACTGTAACAGTAGTCTACTCAGTCAAAAGCAGCACTGTGCATCAGTATATTTCATTCCATTCCTATTCATTCCTATCCATCTAATAGTAGTAAGTATTGTATCACGGCATTCATGGGTAAATAAATGCCTAAGCAGACTGCCAAGCAGAAAAGAAAAAAAAAAAAAAAAAACTACCTGCACGGTCAGTCAACACGTAATCCGTGGCGAGAGCACACCCCGACCCGTGACGCAAGATGAAAGTACATTCCGGCCTTGAGGCGCTGTGGACGGCTGTCGTCGGGTCACAGCTGCAAGCCCCGGTAAAGATATAAGAATAACAGATCCAAAAGGCACAAGAAAATGCATCGAGATGGCCAACAAAACCAATTAGTGCAACAAAGAGTGCGAGCGCAACTGTGTCATTACAGCTTTGGATGGGGGAAGCCACTGGCCATTCGAAGGTGAAAGAGACATAGCATAGAAACAGCGAAGAATAGAAGAGCAGAGGTCAAATAAGAAACCATTTCCACAACTGATAAATTAGAATGGCTCCTCCAACGCCGTCCCATTGTTAAAGCCGGGTATATCCAGCACCGTGATGCAAAAATGTACGGAGAAATGATAGAGTCTCGAGGGACAGTCAGACACATCGAATCCGAATCCGACATGTCGGCCCCCTTTCAGGAAGCCCTTGCCGGTCCCTCGCCTTTAAAAGAGAATTTTCGAAACGATGCATGTCAAGCAGAGAGGGAACAAAAAAGAAAAAGAAAAGAATTGCGAACAAGCCAATTGTGCTTTTGTTGCCATCCCGACAAGCTTGCTTCTGTGTCGCTCGCTGCTGCTGCTGCTCGTTTTATCTGGCCCCAATCCCAAACATACCTACCCCGTAACTTCCACTGCGGTCAGGCAGAGGGGTAGATATCTTCGAAACGTGATCCTTTGTGCAGTGAAGAGAAAAGCAATCAGCATGTCAGAAGCCCAAAGCACCATCATCACCCGAAGGCCCTACCTTCTTCCGTTTCTTCTTTCCCATGCCATCGCTAGCTGAATAAAATGCGCCGTCATCATCATCATCTGCGTAGCCTTCGCCGTATCCGACAAAGCTATTCTCGTCGTAATGCCGTTTGCGCCCCCGGCTGGGCCGACTCCGTTCCGCGTCTGAGACACCCGGCCCAGGAGTCCCATTCGCTTGCATTCGAGCTCCATTCGGAGGTGCAACGGCCTTCTTGCCAGCATCGCCGCCGCCAGCATGCTTGGATGGTTTTTCGTGACCTAAAACATCTTCCCATTGTTCGCTGTTGGGGACCGCACCGGGCTCCATCTTCATAGCCTTCATTTGGAGCGCGTGCAACGCAGAGTCCATATCAGCCACCTTCATCTCCTTGCCGAACACCTTCTGGTTCTGCCATTCCTCTTCGGGCCACATCGTCATATGTATCAATCCACCGGGTGCGCCAGGCTCATGCTTCACAGGTTTATTCCGGCCCGCAAGTCCCAGCCCCTTGAGCTTGCCTTCGTAAGACTTCCGGAGCCGATTGATTTTCTCTCCTGTCACCGGATCCATTCTTGCGACGGATTTTGCAACGGGGCCTAGCCCGTACAAGGAAATCAAATCCAGTGACGGATCCGGACCAGTCGCAGTGTAGGCTGTGGGATTCATGAAAGCCACTTGTGTTAACCAATTTCAATTCTCAACAATGGACGATTGCAGGGACAAATGGCATTATGAACTGCAGCGGCAACAGCCTGATTAGGGACTGGACTGGGGGAAACTCTTACAGCTTTTGCAGAGATGAAATGCCGAGGAAAAGTTGTGTTGCAACGACTCAAGGCTCATGGTGCCATCAGAAGAGCCTGGCGCCTCTCTGTCAATGTCCATCGCATCGATGTGAACGGGCAACCCCGTGGCGGCTTGATCACGGACTGCGCCCTCCGAATCTCCTCCTGGCTGCCGGTCGTGATCTGTCCGTCTGTGTTCGGCTCTTTGGGTGGTCGCAAACGCTCCACCAGTAGAGATAGCGCCTCCTCCTGAGGGCCCTGACCCCATTGACTTAGCTGGAGCATCGGGTTCGTCAAACGAAGTCGTGCCGGGTATATGTCCGCTCACGCTGCTGGCGGGGGTAGGGAACGAGTTTGCCGACCCGCCTACAACCGGCTGTTGTGATGGCTGATTTGACATCGGAGTAGAGGACGGAGGGGATGAAAGACTGGTGGGTTGTGAGGTCGCCTGGCTAGGTGAGGTTTGCGAGGGTACGAAGTGGGTGGCATAATTATGAGCGCTTACCGACATCAACGGAGGTGATGTCGGGGTCTGGGGAATCTGATCGGAGGAGATCGTTGAAAATTGTGGAGTCTCCTTGAGAGACTCGGGAGCGGGAGATGCTGGTGAAGGAGGTCCTACTCGAAATGATGCCGAGGAGGCGCGATCCGACATGGGAGTGCGGGAAGAGAAGGGTGAGTGAAGGAGGAGGTCGGCCAAAGCCCGAGCAGCCCGCGGCTCGAAATCGGCTGAGATAGGTGTATATCGATGGTGTTCGGAATCAGGACCTGATTTCGGTGGATCCAAGGTCGACTGTCCAGGGTGGAGGACAGAGGAGGGGGAGAGGGGGGAGGTTGGCAGATCACGCCGGTCGAGGTGCGCTCAAGCGGGCCGAGCAAGACGTTCCACGACCGTCTAGTAGTCACGCATTCCAATGAATCGAGGGGAACCGTGGCGATGGTGGGTGAGAAGCGAGTTCCACAGATGAAAGCAGTGATCAAGCGTATGATGGGAAAGGCGGTTGGTGGTGTGTTGATATGCGGTGGTAAAAACAGTCGGGGGGGG